TCCAACGAACCCCAAACAGGATAGACCCCAAAAGAAAATCACCAAGATGTATCATCATCAAACTCACCAAAACCAAAGACAAAGAAAGAATCCTGAAAACAGTATGGGAAAAATGAAAAGTTATCTACAAGGGGCCACCAATAGGACTAAGCTTGGATTTCTCAGCAGAAACCATGCAGGCAAGAAGACAATGGGATGCTATATATAAAACTATGAAAGACAAAATTTCCAACCAAGAATTATATACCCAGCAAAATTGTTCCCCAAATATGATGGTGAAATTAGGAGATTTCCAGATAAGCAAAAATTAAGGGATTTTGTTAAAACCAGACTAGCCTTAAAAGATATGCTAACAGGAGTCCTTTGGACAGAGAACCAACAACAGCTAAAAACAACTGACCATTAACACACATCAAGACATAACCCAGAAACCAATCCAGTTATGGAAGTATCCAAAGTAAATAAGCCTACAAGATTGTAAATAGAGAATCAGAGACATCAATTGACAAATGAGGACAATTACAAACCAAAACAGGGAAAAAATTGGGTAGTTTGAGAACTTCTAAATGGTAGGGAAGTCAAGATAATTGAAAGATAGAATGGTCTGTTCTAAACATGGGAAGAAAATTATAAATCACAGGGTAACCACAAAGAAAAATGACAAACCTCACAAAAGTAAAAAAGAGGACAAATACAAATATTTAGCAAATACTAAAACAATAGTAATGAAGGAAATGCTAACATGATTCATAAACATAATGTGCTCAGCACAGAAAAGTATATGGAACAAAGAAATCAGCAACACCACAAAAAAGCACATAACAAAATGACAACAACATATTCATACTTGTCAATAATTATACTGAATGTCAAGGATTAAATGCACCACTCAAGAGACAGAGTTGCAGACTGGATAAGAAAACATAACCCATCAATATGCTGTCTACAAGATACACACTTCAGAGACAAAGACAAAAATAGACTAAAACTCAAAGGTTGGAAAAAGATGTATCAAGCAAATGGCAACCATAAAAGAGAGGTGGCAATATTAATTTCTGATCAAATTGACTTTAAGACAAAAACCAGCATAAGAGACAAGGAAAGTAATTATATAACGATTAAAGAATAAATTGAAGAAGAGGATACAACAGTAATAAATCTCAATACATGCAATGAATGAATACCAAAATACACAAAGCAGACTCTAACAGAACAGAAAAAGCAATGACTCCACAGTAGTAAGGAGGAGACTTTAATACACCACTTTCAAT